TCGTTGTTATGTTGCGGACTCTCTGGTACTCTTATCGTATTTGTAGGGTGATGGGTGGGTGTTGGGGGCTTGTTTCCGCAAGCCAGCGGCAAGGCCGGCCGATGTAACAGCAACCAATCACGTTATTAGTGACAGTGGTGTTCGAGGTCGATGCAAAAACACTCATCATCCGCACAACGCGTGTTGCAGTCTGCCTGTTTTGCGCGCACATGCGCAAAGGCAGAGCACACGCGGCAAACCACCTCGCGGCTGTGCTGTACGTGATGCCCATTCCGACGTTGACGTCTTTGTTGAGGGGTCGCCCGCCTGTGTTTCATGCCCTCCTTTCTTCCACAAAACCGTTGTATGGCCGCCACAAACCGCCCAACAGCAGTGAGTGGTGGTTCGACCACTTTTGGAAACCCGCAAGAAGACCTACAAGCAAGATGAAATGAAACGACCCAAGCATGCTAGACCGAAAGCACCCTTCCCCCCTCCCATCAACCCATTCTGCGCGGCAAGGTAGTTAGTATTGTACAGTAGAGACCACCGCTCAGCTCTCCTCTTCGAGTACTGTATCAAATATATATGCGCGTTGCTGAACGGATGGTTAAACCGTCCTCTACCCCCAATAACCCTTTCTCTCAACGGAGCGTGTGGCACATGGTATCCTCCACCGTGCTGGTGCGGCGGCGGCATGGCTTCATCGTGCAACATGCCCGTTTGGGTGGCCCCAGCACAACATGCGCTCGCATGCATGGTGTGTGTGTTTTTCGCACCGCGAGAGAAGGGGTGCAAGCACGCTCTGTTGCGGTCTACATACTTTCTATCGATTTCAGGCTCGGACGCCTGTATCATACATAGTCTAGTCTTCTTCATGTCGGGATGAGGTGTATCCGGGGATGGATTGGGTTAGATTGTATCTTGTTATATCCACAAATAAAATAATACATGTATGTGTGGCGAGTGCAACGGGAGGGCGTGTGATTGCGGCAGCGGAAGGAACGGCTGTGGGGGTAATGGTGTGATGATCGAGTGCCGTACATCGCTTTCTCCCGTAAGGGTCCATCCCCAGCTAGCTGCACTCTATTTCGCACGTTGCAGTATGAACATATGACACATATGACTTACCTGCTGTCCTAGGAGGAACATCTTGACCGAGAGCACGTCTCTTACGTAGGCCATTCTTACGATCTCCAGGCAAGATGTTCGCTGCTGGACCAGCCTGAATTTTACGCACGCACACCAGACCGCCGGACAGCAGTCGCACAATGTTGTCGAAGTTTTGTACCATGTGGCAACAACAGAGAGAGCTGATGTTGCTACAAAGACCTACAAAGTATAACTGCACACAGCAGGTGCTGCTGCATATCATCTGCTGCACCTAGAGGTTTTTCTGCCTTTCTTTCTTTTGTCGGCACGTTGTACAACATAAGTAAGTAGACCAATCGTACCTTGTACCTCACCTCGCCACGTAGTTATAGTGCGTAAAATAGTGCGTCGAACAAGCGTAGAATAGAATACATCCGAGTGTAGACCATCCACCGTGAGTCTCATATTACTGCTGTACAATAAATAGTCTTATTTACATACAAGTAAGTGCACGACGAAGAGATGATGGCATGGGTGTTGCCCGCCGCACAACAAAGTACGTACCTCTTGAGTCGGTCCAGGGCCGCCTGAAAAAACGTCCGTACTTGCCACCGTCGGAAGCAATGCGCTGTCCCCAGCAGCCGGTACTCTTGAGTTCTCACCTGTTGACCAAAGCATACATACACAGACAGGTGTCGCAGCAACACTTTTGCGTGTAGTTCATGAAGAAGAGCCATGAACTCCGTCTCTCTCGCTCATGATCACGAGAGACGAGAGTACCGTATATGACACAAGATAACACACCCCCTTGGCCGATTTTCAAAGCTCGATTTCTCAACAGCAGGAAGAGTCACAGCGCCGAAAACGGCGGCGTTGGAACCGTCTCGTCGAGAGCTGTTCGAAAACGTATTGTTTCATTTATGCATCCTCTTCGTCGTGGAGTAATCGAGCTTTGAAAATCGGTCCAGGGGGTGTGTTATCTTGTGTCATATACGGTAGACCGCCGACACCTCGGAGATACAACGACGACCGAAGTTGAAATGAGAGATAACATTGTGCTTGTTTTGCCGAGAAGTGTACAGAAGCCAGGCGAGAGAGGGCAATGCCCTCTAAAGAAACCTCCACTGCTGTCGCGAACGTATAACAGTATCTAGGTACTTATGCTGTTTCAGCAGTACATCCCATCAATGCGCTGCTCATGAAGACTATAGACCTATAGACGTAGTCTAGACTACACAGCAGGTAGACTAAATATATGTGACGTTAGATCACATCCCCTGCGACGATTTTCAAAGTCCGATTACCCTGCACAGCAGAAAGAGGGTTGGCGCCGAGGAAAGGCGGTGTTGGAACCGTCTCGTCGAGATCTTTCCTATGACGCATCGTTTCGATCATGTATCCTCTTGGCCGTGCAGTGTTCGAGCGTCGACAGATGGGGGGTGGTATCCTACGTACCTTTTTGTAGGCATTTACTGGCAACACACATCATGATCAAGATTATTAGCGACGATCCGTCCAAGATCCTGCGTGCACCGCAACGCTATAATATGTTCCGCACTTCTCAACAAGCACTGCCGACCGGTTTGGGTTGCACATTACAGCGTCCGTTTCTCTGACCTTGAGCGCTATCCGCAAGGCAGACCTCTCAACCCTGCAACGCCTCCCACTCTCGTCAAGCCCATCGGCCGCTGCCGCAGCAGCATCATCAGCAGGCGGTGGATCGGCGAGCATGATGATACGTCTTCTCGTCGCCGGAGACCGCTTGCAAATTACGGAAATAGTACGCCGTTGCGTGCAGAACGCTGGTGCACTACATCCATGCAGCAGCAATGTAGCCCCTTACGACAGCGAATGTTGGTTGTGCATACATAGCAGCGAACGTGTCCTCTTGTTGTTGTTCTCCATCACGGGCAGGTGAACACGACAACGAGCAAGTACCCCCGAAAAGTGTACCTTTTCCGTTGGGATCCTTGCCTTGATAAGGTATATATACCGACACGCAGAATATCCTCACGGCTGGCGAAAACGTGCAAAGTGACGCCTGCCCGCGTCATGTGGTTGTTGACAGATCAAATAGATGCGAGAGGTGTGACAGCGTGGTGTATATGTATGATGTCCCCGCGCCACGCGCCGGCAGCGAACCATCAAATAATTCTTGTCAAAAACGCACGCGAGAAAAGATCATGCGCTCAAGCAAGCAAGTAGTTCCCGCAAGTTATGGCATGCCCCTCTGGTTCCTGGTGGTTGGACGGTCCGCGCATCTGTCTCTCTGTGGCTCTTTGCCTTTCGGTACGCTACGCACCACTGCCTACAGTCGAGTGGCGCGCGGTCGCGAAGAAACAAGCGGAATGTTTTCACGGAAAGTTCATTGGCGCGCGGCGCAAGTGTTCACCGGACAAAGAATTGCCTCCACCACTATGCTGCTTGTTTGCTTTGCACCCAGTCGCTGTGCCGTCTCTTATTTCGGTAAATATCGATCGGCAGGGGGTGAATGTGGCTGCGGGCGGAGGGCGTTGAGGTGGATTTTTTGTTGTGGATATACCGGTCCGCTCGACCCTCAACCACCGGCAAACTGCTGTCAGACAGAGAGAGAGTTGGAGAGAGACAAAAAGGTTGGATGCATGTGTATGTGATGTGCGTTCATGGGGTGCATGTGAGCACACCGTCGAGTCTGAGAACTCCGTCGACCCCTCTTCCTCTCCGCATGCAGCAGTAGTCAAGGCTGGTACGTGAGATGCTGCTGCGCGTGTTCCACGGCAGCCAGAACGAGACCCGGCAGGTTGACTTTTTGAGAGAGATGTTTTCGACCGCTCTCACATCTGGGCGCGCTCGCGCCGAAAACAAGTAATTCCTCTTTTTCTCACAGAACGCCTGCACTCATGCACTCCCTTACTCCCTGTGCTGGTGCTAGTTCGTGGCGGGTGGGCGGCGAAGGTACAGCGATTGAGTGTGATGGGCAGACCCTGCGGGAGGGCATAGATAGATAGCATATTTCGCTCTCGGTTGGTATGAACCCGGCGGTCCTCGACGTTTGTAATGTGGTGTGGACGCATCATCACATCGGCCATTTTTTTCTGGCGTGCGCAAGTCATTTTTTTTTTTTTAAGGACACGGGGGGGACACACGGCTCTACATGTGCTGCCACATTGATTGCACACGCCTCTTTTGCCCCGAACAAAATTGCCGTTCAAGAGCACCGACGCCCCCATCTCGACCGGCCACGGCACACGTGAGTTCGGGCGCCAGCAGGGCTGGGCAGCCGTTGCCAACAGCGGGCGGAATGCACAGCAGCAGCTGCGCACCGGGGCAAAATTCATGCAGCAGAATCGGAGTTAGAAACACACTAACATATCTAGCGTTGTGGAGAAGTTCCCCCGTCATCACTGGCGAAAGAAGTGAAAAGCAAGCATGGAGTATTCTGCAGACCAAAAACGAGAAAAAAATGTTTTATTTTCATCGTTGTTGGAACAGCATCAACAACAGCAGTTCGCGCCTCAAATTCTCTGTCACCCCCCTGCTCCTGTTCCTCTCTTCCTCCCCTCTTGAAGCAGCAGCAGCGGCAAGGGAAGGGAAGGGAAGCAGCGGCGGCGGCGCGTGCGTCCTAGATCATGTCGTCCCTGCCGTCGCTCTCCAGCGTCTTGCGGGGAATCAAGCTGCCGGGCGGCAGCCCTCCCCACAGCAAGGGGCGAGCTTCGGCACCACCTGCAACAGCAGCAGCAGCAGCAGCAACAGCAGCAGGACCTGCGCCAACACCCACGGCGGCACCAACGGAGGAACGTCTCGGGAACCCGCAGCAGCAGCACCACCGGCAGCAGCAGCAGCAGCAGCAGCAGCAGGAGCCCTCGCACGAGCTCATGCTGACGCCGTTGTCCACGTCGGCGCGCTCGGAAAGTTCGGGAGGGTGTAGGCGTCGCCGGGACGAAATTGAGATGATGCCCGAGTTGTATTCGCCGGGAGGAAGCAGCGTTTTTTCGGATGGCAGCTGCTCGACCGCGCCGTACGGGAGGGGTGGCTCCTCTTCCGGTTGGTGCGGGTCTTCTTGGGACGGGAGCGATCACGAGAGCGGGGGACAAGGGTCGGCCGACTACGAGGCCGCCGCGCAGCAGCAACGCGAGCGCGGCGGCGGGGTCGGCGGTGGTGGCGGCATGGGGCATGTCCCGCTGTCGTCCGTAGCAGCAGCATCAGCAGCAGCATCAGCAGGAGGGGGCGGAGGAGGAGGAGGAGGAGGAGGAGGCTATAGCTCGGCGTCGAGCGGCTGCACTAGCAAGCGGGCGAAGCTGACCTCGCGGTCCCTCACCAGGCTGGGCGATGAGCCCGCGGTGAACGGCTCCGGGGTCGGGGTCGTGGGCAGCAGCGCCGGCGCCATGGACATCGGCGGTGGCAGCACGAGCGACGGCCGCGCCCGCGCGCGCGACGGCTTCCTCAAGGGCCGGGGGATGAGCCTCGACGGCGGCGGCGGCGGAAGGCGCGGCCACTTCGAACAATCCATGTCCCACTCCACGGAGGAGTGGCGCGCCATGTCCAAGGCCGCGAGGGTGCTCGGGGTGGACTCGCTGGAGGAGAGGGACGTGGAGGACCAGCGCCGCGCGTCCAGCGTGAAGGCGGCTCAGATCCTGGGCGTGGGGGTGGAGAACGTGGCCGAGCTGCAGCAGAACGCGAACGCGGCCCGAGATCGGCACTGGGCGCCACCCCGCAGCAGCGCTTCCAAGGCGGCGCGCATGTTGGGCGTCTCGGATGTGGACGACCTCGAGGACGGGGAGGGGCGACGGGGGCGGAAGGCAACCACGAACAAGGACAGGCGGCTGGCGCGCTCCCGGTCCGTGTCTTCGCGGGGCGCGAGAGGGAGCTCCGGCTCCAAGGCTACTCGCGGGCAGGGCACCATTTCCTCGCTCATCCGCGCCCTCGAGATCAACGGAGGCACGGCGACCGGCAGCACTAGCCAGACCGGGTCGAGCGACAACGGCAGCAGCAGCGTCGGTGACAACGGCAGCGAGGACCTGCACCAGATCAAGAAGGGGCTGGGCAAGCAGCAGGAGACTGGGAGCAACCGGAGCACGCGGGCGACCGAGTCGTGCAGCAGCGTGAGCGAGTGCGCCCACACGGATACGGACGGCGTGAGCAGCGTGGACGGCGGCAGCAGCGCTCAAGGGAGCTACGACTATTCTCCGGTCGAGGGGCCGCAGCAGCAGAAGCAGCAACAGCAGCAGCAGCAGCACACAAGGCGAGCTAGTGTTTCTCCTGTGAAGACAGAGTTGTTGTGGTGTTGGGTGCCGGCAACTTCTCAAATCCCCAAGAGAAGCGTCACGCGGGCTTTTTGTTTTGCGCTATTTTTTCTGTATGCAAAACGTACACGTTCAACGCGAGTGAAGTTCTGCTGCTCACAAGTAACTATCTTTGGGTAAATACACACACACGTTTGAATTTTCTGCTGGTTGGCATGGAACACACACAAATATTGTTCCATCTAGGTCTTGCTGACTGATTGCTCTTCTTCCGAAGCTGCTGCCGTTTGAGTACCCTACACTAAATACTCCTGGTTGTATAAAAATACCTGGAGGTCTGTCCTCTCATCATCTAACCTGCGGACATACCACAATACGAACCCTCACCTCGGTTTCGTTACAAAGACGATGCTTCTAATATATCAGAAAACAACCCGTTCCTTGCGTGCAGGCCGTCTTTGTTGCCGTGCGTCCTCTGCCACCAGGTCTAATAGTACTTTTTCCAGCATGATGCCCAACCTTGCTTACGTTTGTCGATGTGATGTCTCGTCCACCCTTGCTGCCCACTAACCAGGCCGCAGCCCGAGCTCTCCGACGACAGCCAGCTAGCTGGCTTGCAGACGCCCGGAGCCTCGTCCTCGTCCGAGGCGGGGCCGGGGGGACTCCGTGGCTTCAGCAGGCACAACCGCGACGACGATATGGACATCGAGACCCCCCCGTCGCAGCCCCGCTCCGCGCCCGTGGCCTCCCTGCGGAAGGCGTCAGCGCCGCTGCTGGCCCCGTACACCCCGTCGCTGACCCCGGCTTCCTCGGCGGGGGCGGCGGTGACCGCGTCGCCGTCGCCGGACATGGGCCCGGGCCCGTCTCCGTCCGGGTCGCCTTCTATCCCGACGCCCCAGCGGCAGCAGCACCAGCAGCACCAGCAGCACCAGCAGGTTGCTCGGCACGCTTCGGACTTCGCCTTGAACGAGGGCGTCGAGTGGCGTTCCCCGGTGTCGGCCGTCGCGGAGAGAAAGAACGGGGCTGGTTCGATGTCCGCGGAGAAGGGTGGTGGGCGCGTGGCGCGCGTCAGTGAGGTCCTCGACGATTCTCCCTTGGTGGCCTCATCTGGGAACGGCGGCCAGGGCTGGCCCAGGGATTGGAGCGCGGCGGCCGCCGGCACCGCGGCGATCACCGCGCCGCATCATCCGCACCAGCACCAGCACCAGCAACGCCGCTCCTCTTCCGCTCCAATGGACCAACAGCGTGCCTCTCGGACGGCGAGTGCGATGGGCCCGGTCGACTTCAGGCTACCGGACCCGGTTCCGTCTTGGGCGGAACAACGGGCCTCTGTCGGTGCTGTCAACACGGCCGCCGGATGCAAGGAGTCGAGGCCCGAGGTGTGGCCCGAGCACAAGCAGGTATCCCCCGTCGTCCCACAGCTCGTGAGAGGGGGGCGAGAGCTCCCGCTTCCCTCGATGCTAGCAAGCGCTGCGGCGGCGGAGGAGAAGATGGGCGGCAGGTGGGCCGGTGGACAGGGGTCGCAGCAGCGCGGCAGTCTTCCGGAGTACAAGTACGAGTCGCCGGACGTGGCCCCGCGCTCGACGGTCGGCGGCGGGGTGGAGGAGCAGCAGCATCAATACCGCCACCATCATCGGCATCAGCAGCACCAACACCAACACCAGCACCAGCAGCAACAGAAGCTCCACCAGCAACGCCAACAGCAACGCCACCAGCAGCAACAGCAGCAGCAGCGGATACAGCAGCAACAGCAGCAACAGCAGCGGCTGCAGCCACAGCCTGTTGGGTTGGTTTCGTCGGGCTCCGCGGGAGTCTACCCGTACCCCCACCCCCAGTTCCACCACCACCAGTACCAGCACCACCACCAGCAATGGCAGCAGCAAAGACAGCAGCAGCAGCAGCAGCAACAGCAACAGCAACGCTCGATAGCACCGTCGTCGTCTACCGAAGGTTTCTCCACCAACGGCAGCAGCAGCAGCCACCACCACCACCAGCATCACCAAGCCTCCCCGCCGTCGCAAGTGACCCTGTCCTCCGACGACGACCTCGTCAGCGGGGGCTCCGGCGACGTCGCGAGTGGTTACGGGTATCCCCTGACCACCGTCGGCGGCAGCGACAGCTCCGGCGAGAGCGACAGCGCATGCGACACGTTCCCGGACCAGATGGACGAAGGGGAAGGGCCGGCAGCCTCCAGCGCCTACGAGGCGCTCGCCGCCATGATCCCCGTCATCAACCCCATGGGCATCCCGCGGCACCAGCACGGGGCGGGAGGACCGGCGGCGACGGCCGCCGCCGCGGGGCAGCAGCACGTGAAGCTGGAGGTAGTCCAGGGCCGTGGTGGCGCGGCGGCCACGGCATCCGCGAACGCCCCTCGCTCGAAGGTGCCAAAGCCCAAGCATCGCCCGCGGGGCGGCGGCGGAGGCGTTGAGGTACCGACGAAGGGGGATGTTTGGGGCGAGAACGTATCCAGGTTCGGCGGTGGCGATGACAGGAGTAGCGCCCTGAAGGGCAACGGGCGGAAGGTCGGCGGGGTGGGCGGGTGCGGTAGCGGCGCGAAGGTGCCCCAGGGTAGCGGCGGCGGCGTCGACGACGGGGGGAGATCAACGTCTGCGGCCGGTGGTGGCGGGGGAGGCATCTCGACCCCAAAGCAGCGGGAAGTGGCGACCCGTCCCCGGGAGAAGGGCAGGTTTGTGAAGCGCGCCCCGGCGTTCTTGCCGATCTCGGCGTTTAAGCCGCCGTCGGACAGGAGCGAGGCGGACGCTGCGGCGGAGGCGGCGGAGGAGGCGCGCCGGAAGGCCGACGAGGCTGCGGTGAGATTAGAGCTCGAAGAAGCAGTAGCAGCAGCAGCATCTTGGTGTAATTGTTGTGTCTTGCTGGCCAGTCTCACTCGGCACCAATCGTCTGGAGGTGATGGAGAGAGGCTTTGAGCATGCGATGGATGATCGATGCCGAAGTTGACAAGAAGCTCGTTTGACCACACGCTCTGCCCGTTTATTGATGAACTCACAAGAGCATCTCCACAAGCCCGTGCTAATTATGTGGCGTTTGACGACAAGCTCTGCCCGTTTTTTGATGAACTCACACGAGCATCTCCACGAGCCCGCGCTTATTTGTCGGATTTACTTTTCGTTACTATTTTTTTATTTATTTTTTGCCGTTGCCGTTGCCGTTGTGGGTGCCGTTCTTGGTCGTGTGTTGATTTTTATCGCGAAATAGGCCCCTCTGAACCCCCCGCCCACTGCGACTCAGTGAAGGCGCTCTCTAGGTCGCCTACTTTGGGGTTTTGCGTCAAAGTAGGACTCGTTTTTTTATTCGGTCAACTTTTGCCACCTGCCCCGTGGCTTTTTTTGCTGCTGATAGGCGTTTGTTTTACCCCACTCATCAGTTTGGGGGAAAAGTCTCACCTTTATCTTCTTTTTGGCTGCCCTTCTTTTCCGGTCCCCTCTATATACCTCAGGAGGTTGCCGCTGCCGCCGCCGCTGCCGCCGCGATTCAGCGGGGATTGAACAAGGCCAACTCTTCGTCTTCATCGTCATCGCCGACGCCGCCGTCATCAACGTCGACTTCCAAGATGATGCTGCCTCCCGCGGCTGTCGGTAGGGGCGATAAGGCAAAGGAGCACGCCGGGTCATGGAGCCCCGTAACCGGAGGGGGAGGGGAAGGTGAGAGGGAGGACAGCTGGAGAGGAAAGGTGTTCCGTAGCGCGGAGCCTCGTCGTTGTTGCTGCTGCTGTTGACGCTGGTGGCGTGACACTCCAGCGGGAACTGCTGGTGTTGTTGTCGTTGCTACAAAGTTTTTTTTCTGCCACACTGACGTGCTAGGGTGCGGAATGCGTTTTTTGAGGTGCAAAGAGAGGTCGAACCGCTCTTGCTTGGGATTTTTGTCGTTTTTCTCGCGACTTGGGGTTTGAGTGAGAAATGTAGGCGATGGCACAAACAACGCGCGTCCGTTCCACGCAAACATAATGCACCGCTTTCAATGGATACCGTTTTCGTACTCTCCACGCCATGCCGCGCTCTTGCTCGCCTCGAGTAGGTGCCACGGAGCGGGCACCCAGCAGCAGCAGCACCAAGACATCGCCTGCGGCTGCGGTGTATACTGCGCGCAGGGGTGCTGGAGGGGGGGGGGGGGGGGGGTGG